GAATAGCTTCTCCTTTTACGGGAAGAAATCTATTCTTATGCTAAGTGATAATAAAAAATTATAACAATTTTTTCTTTAAAATAAAAAAGCAAAACATGGTGGGTCCCATGATTGATTTCTCTGCAGGAATGAGATCAATTCTCCGATGACAGGAGAATTGATTACCCCATATATATATATATATATATATATATATATATATATATATATCAACCAACATATAAGAACCGTTGTAGACTTTGTTTCTTTACATAATTGATTTAGTTTTATTATATTACTTTTACTTTTTGATTTTTATTAAAACAGATTTTTAATTGATTTTTTTTATCATTTAATTTTTAATATGAAATGCATCCAACTAAATACATGTAATACAATGATATGTATTGGAGCTTAGGAAGATACCATATGATATAATATAGTGTGTAACAAAATTTTTAAAAATACCTCACCACTTGTATCTTCAAACTTCATCTTCAATTTGAGATTTTTTGTAAATCTTTTATCATTATCAAAATATGTATTCCATTATGCTTAAGAGGTCTTCATGTTATAGGTGTTCCGAGGTAAACACAAATGTCTAGGTAAAAAGCTAATAATTGTATCTTCAAAGCTAAGGGAGAGATGACTAACAAGGAGAAATCCAATACCTCTAGGCTCTAGTCAAGGTCCGATGAAAATATTGTAAGATGGGTGCGTGTGTGTATTTCTAGAGATAGTGAGAGCTCTTTAGGGCTCAAAAGTGATTTGTAATGCATTGTGGCTAAGATGATCTCTTGTGAAGCACTATTCAGGTGAATCAGGTATATATAAGGCTCATTGGGACGGTTATTGTAGAGAAAAATGACCCTAGAGGTGTTATCTCGTAAGTGGTAATCATAAATGAGAAAGAAGAGGAATAGGGTCATGGGTCGCGAGCCCACGTTTCAGGCTAATGAGCTCATGCCTTAACTAGCACCTCTTCAAATGGGAAGCCCAGCTCAAAAGCAGGCTTGCTATGTGCCTTTTAGAAGATCCCCGGAACAATAAATAAATTTATTCTTATAAAAGATTTCAACTAAGAAATAGTTATATGTGATGGCAAAAATGTGTTTCAAATAAGAAGAGTGATTTACGTGATAACAGAAAATATTTTTGATGATATAAATAAGTTTATGATAATTCTGATTCATTTCAAAGTATTATGATTTATTTGTTCCGTTTGATTAAAACTTGATGACTTTTTCATATAAGGCTGATTTTGCGAAAAAAAAAAAAAAATTGTTATTGTTATTGTCATTGGGATCAAAATCTCATTAGTGTGTGTTTATCAAATACCTAAGATAGACTAAAGTATATGTTGATTACCTGTGAAATAAATGTTTATTCAAATTATGTTCATGTTTTCATATTCAGTTACGAAATTTTGAAAATAAAATGTTATTTTTCTTTTTGTTGTGATTTTGTATCACGAGGTGTTTATATACCCCATGTTAATTTATGGATATGTAATTTGACATGTCTAAATAGTATTTATATGCATATAATATTTTATGTAAGATTATTCCCTTAATTTTAATATAATATCCGTATAGTATTTTATTTATGAAGAAAAAATAAAGTAAAAAAATAATGTTACTTGGTTAAAATTGTGGGATGTTACACATTGTCATAAAAATCTCCTTAAAATTCACCTTTAGATAAGTTTTTGGCTCGAGAAATTGATGAATTAAGTAGTGTAAAATGTAAGTATGTCAACTTTAGGATGATTTTTGTGTAGTTAAATAATTAATAATTTTAATTTTAATTTTGTTAACGTGCCAAAGGCAAAGGAGGGTGAGGAAGTATGTATGTAATCAAAAAAAATTGAGGATCTCACACTGCATGATTAGCGTCATAGCGTCAAAAATTCACCACCACAACACTAGTTGGAAGAACTTCATTTCAGCCTCATAATGCCAAGGAAGACGAGGAAAGATACTAGCCACACATCATGGGAATGTAAGCGTCAACAATGACTACATGAGAAAACGGTGTCTTAGGACCTCACCATGACTATTCTTCGTGCTTCTATGACTTGGTTAACCATGGATTGAAATTGAACTCATGTATGTTTAGAAAATTAGTATATGAATTGAATTTGGAAGTAAATAACCATGTTCTAATAATAGATGTTATTGTATATATTATATAATTGAGATCATTTGACTTTAGGGTTTTATAAGAGGGGGAAGGATATTGTGACAACCAAGTTGTGTTACTACCAAGTGACTACCAATCAATCTCATTGTTAGATCGATTATGTTGATCCAACGGTTATATTTATTTCCATCTTTGTATGGTCATGATTCCCCATATTTAAAGTGAAAGCATTAAATATGGAAAATCATAACCATACAAAGGTGAAAATAAATATAAAGTATTAAATTTGCCTTTAGGGTTATGATGTAGGAAAAGTGATTATGTAATCTTATAGAGATTCATTTTGCGTGCCTTATTTTTTTTTTTTTTGCTTCAAAAAGTGTGAGCCCCACAAAATATTGTGTGTAGGAAATTTTTTTGTGTCATGTGACATGGTAGATGCAAACCACTTGATTTTAATGCACAAACTAAGGCATATAAGGAATTGAATATCTTCTTTAAAATAAAGGAATAAGGTATCAAAGAATAAAAATTTAAATTGAAGTTAGGTATTTAAACCGGATTAGATCCGAATAACAATAGGGGGATAATTAAATAAATCAGATCCTAACCACTTTGTTATTTCCTTGTCTTTTTATTGTGTTAAATTTTAAAACTTATTTCAATTCAAACACAAGTTCAAATAATAGTTTAGTTTGTGAGTTGATAACTAATACCAAAATCCACACTCAATTCCATTTACATTACTTGATATACTTGTCAAAGAAGTTAATCCAAGACCATAGGCATTTCGATTTTTATCGTAATTCTTGCATGTACATACGAGAACCTATACACTATGATAGTTTAAATCTTAATTTATTATTACGATTTTACGTTTTTATAAAAAAAAAAATTATCAAAACGATTTTATCAATATTCCAAACGTTTTTATATTTTTACGATGTTTTTTCATTTTACGATTTTTTATTCTCCTTCCAATTTTACATGAAATTTTGATTTTGATTACAGAATCGGAATAAATAAAAAATTTAAATTAAATAAAAAATTAATTTATAGCAAGAATTGACATAAATTAATCTTTCTTTTGGAATTTTAAAATTAAAGAAAGAGTATAAGACTTCGATTTAAAAAAAATTACATAAAAAATATTTCAATTTAACATTAAATCAGTCATGTTTTAATTGGTATTCACCTCAATTTTTATATAGTCTAATTCTTTTTACACCTACGCACTGAGTAACATTTTTCAGAGGTTTACCCTGTGGCGGATGTCAGCGGTTCGAGTCCGCTTATCTCCAACTCGTGAACTTAGCCGATACAAAGCTATATGATAGCACCCAATTTTTCCGATTCGGCAGTTTGATCTATACTATGATTTCTCATTCATGGACGTTGATAAGATCCTTTCATCTAGCAGCACCTTAGGATGGGGCATAGCTCGATAACATTTCATTCTACAGAAATTATACTTTTAAACATATTCACACCAGTATTACATTTTTTATATCATTCACATGTGAAAGTCCATAATACTTATTGAATTTCAGACCCACACAAGGGAGGATTAAAAATCGAATTGTACGACGAAATGACCGAGTAACATATCTCGACCGAAGTCGCAAACAATATTAGAATAGGTGTTTCTCATTTTAATATTAATTTAACAGCACGAGAGGCTCATAAAGAAGAGGAAAGTCATCTTAGAAGTCTAATTGGTGCCCGGAAAAGACCCGGTCAACAAATAACACCACCAGCAATTCACATCCTCGCCTAACTTCACCAACAATGTAAAGCTGTCTCAAAGATAGAAGAATGTCATATAGCAACACTGACCCGAACGACAACTTGATAGTTGATACTCTAATTACCTCGACTACTGACCAATTGCTCACAAACCTTCCCTAATTAGATCACCGAAGAGAGACTCCCAAAAATCCTCTTCTACACTCTTGACCCTTTGGAATAACCCATTAATTAACACCAACCTCAAGTTCAATAATTTAAAATTTACAAAATAAATAAATAAATAAAAATAAAAACTTCCCAAGCTTTAGATGCTTCAAAAAAACAAGCTGAAAGTGCACGCTACATTCAAAAAGGGATGTAAATAGATCATGGATTCAAAGAGTGCTAAAGAAAAAACGAAAATGACTCAAACAAATGATACACAAACTTATATCGTAATCGGGACACCTTTCGATTCTCTGCCTTATGTTCTTTCCTTCTAGTTTTCGAAGCATCCAAGTTTGTAACTGACAGGATTTTGTTTTTACGGAGAAAATGAAACAACAAATGATTTCCCAAAAAAAGAAAGAAAATGAAGAAATAACAAACGAACTATAATTTAGCGATTCGGTTACTAATAATAACCGTTGAACTACAAGAACAGGCAAGAAAATTTTAAAGAAATATAAGCCTGCAGATGTAAAAATACTCTTTTTAATAATTTTCCCATTCAATGCATCTACCCCGCTTCCATTAATTTTCGCTTTCTCACATTAACACTACAACAGAAATACAAACAGAAGCTGGTTCATACTTAACTCGATCCTTATCATTCAGATTTAAGTTATTTAATATTAAAACATTAAAAAACACGCATTTGTATGCAAACGTATCATTTGTCCATGATACTCCATTATTGTTAGTTTCAATTTAAAATATCAAAAAGTTATTTGAGATTAGGCACATATGAACTTTCCCCACCTAATGTTGTATTATTAGTTCCTCCGCGAAATGGGCACACACAACAAATCTAGACAGCTCAACGTCACAAAAGAACTTGAACGGCAATACGAATAGGATACAGTAGTCACCAAGAAAATGCAATACTTACGAATCATGATAGACGGTAAAAGAGCGAGGTGAAGATAATAAAACCGAAATAACCGAGCATTACCACTGAACAATGTTATTTAACAAGATCAACAACAAAGTAAACAACCAAACTTTCCATTCATCTCGTCCAGCAAAATACATTCAAAAGCTACCCCAAATTTGAGGAACCCACGTTGGTATTAAAAACCAAGACTACGGAAATTATGAGAAGAAATATAAAGGGCACCGTGCCTCTGCAACACCCACTATGCGCTGCTTAGGCTTAAGGAAACCTGCGAGGTAAATTTCATCACAAGAATCAGCTCCCGAAAGATTACGCAGGACTAAGGTAACTAGTAAAGAATGAAGACTTACCCAAGCTCAGAGAGCTTTAGGTGAGCCTCAGCATAATCAGCAAAGAAGGCATCTTCATCCTGCAATCAGCGGCAAAACAAAAGTTATGAGTAAACTAAAACAAACAAATCATTTCATGCTCAGCATTTAGAGATTAATGCTACGCGAAAGTTTAAGTAAAAACACACACCGCAGCATATTTCTCAACAAGAGGGCGGAATACTGGGTCGGTCAAAAGTGCCTTGTCACTTGGCAGCTGAAGGAGGCCTTCCTTCTCCCCAGACAAAAGCTCCCTAATATTTAAATAAGGATATTGATAAGAATTTACACCTAAACAAAAGCCTAAGAGAAAAAATAAGAGAGAGACGTAAACAAACTCACGTGAAGTAAGAGTTGTCAAAAATGAGGGGATTACTAGTCCAGGGGCCCTCAAATCCAGAACGCTCCTTGTGTGCCGCTCCCTACATACCAGTCAAAGCTACAATATTAGATGATAAAAAAAAAAAAAAAAAAAAAATCCCACTCATACCAATGTAATTATCCAAATGTTGTGGCTAAAACCATGCTCAAAATAAGAACAAGCTTAAAATCACAACATACAAGGGTGTGACCACCAGATAGAGCAACAATATCCTGGTCGCTAAGCCCCATTGCTTTGCCAAACACATCCCTCAGATGGTCAGAACCTGCAGACACCAAACACCAAACGATGAGCAAAACATAGATAATCCATCACGAGCATTTATTCACATTACAAGTCCAGAATACTAACCCTTTGTTGCATCAGGCAAGCGACCCTCAGGAGGTGGCTCAGGCTTGTCCTGATCAGAAAAAAGCACTACAATTAGAATCCAAAATAACAACGGATCGTAACATCAATGGTAACAAAGATAAGTATCAAATCAAATTGTGTGCAAAGAATTACTCAAAGTTACGTTCAAAAGCGTATTTAAATAATAATTAAAACAGAAAGGCAAAGAAGAGAACAATAGCAAATTTGTAGAATAATTTACCCGAATTAGTGTAAATAATCATAAAACAGAGTACGAACAAAAAAATATAAATATAACTACAGTTCTTATATGTGAAGATTGTAATCATAGTTATTCAGCAAAACTAGTCAAAAACGTTACTGAATTTGCACTATTACAATCACGTTAAAACAACATACATAATAGAAATTAATCAGTTAAAAAAGACTAAAATCGTTTAAAACTAGCAATATACCTCTCTTCCGGGGTGGAAGGGAATTTCAGGTCCACCAGTGACCTCGACAGCAACGACGCCAGCCAGCTGCGTTACAAAAAAAACAACATAAACAAAAAAAAACCACCAGAAACAGAATCAAAAAATTTCAGATCTGATAAAATGATACAAAAACGCAATCCGAACATGAAATTCTCACCTGGTAGAAATCAGCGTAGCTTATGATGGGGAATTGCTCCTTAATTGGCTCCAACAGCCTAACAGCGATATCAAGCCCGTTGTTAGCACCGTGAGCAAGTTCAGATGGATGCTTAATGGTTCCGAAGGGACCTCCGGTCTTCGTCTTCGCGTCATAGGTCCCAGCAGAGTGCCACCTACACACACACACACACAAACACAAACATAAACACCAAATCATCACAACGTATCAACACAACAAACTACAAAGCGAGAATCGCACATAACAGTGATCCAGTGAGAAGAAGGAGAAGATAACATACGCTAAACGGAGCATCAGAGGAGCACAGTTCTTCTCAGCGATGAAGCCCCTAAGCTTCCTCTTTGCCTTCTCAACGGCCTTATGGTAATCGGGGCTCACGGTTGGGTAAGACATTCCCACGGCTTACGATTCTGTACCAAAACCAGAAAAAATGGATCACATAACAGATCATGATCGAGTATGTGAAAAAAAAAAATTGGTCAAAATGTGGATCTAACGAACTGATCCGAAAATGAGCTGAACCGAATGAGATTTTCAGCGAAGAAAGTGAACGAACCTTGCAATCAAAAGGAGAGAAATGAAGTAAACCCTAGTGGCGCGAGCAGAGCACAAGCCAGCAATGGAGTAAATATAAGAGAGGAAGATACATATAAGGGAGTGAAGCGGAGAAAGTTCTAGTAGATGATAATGAGCCGTTTGATGCTTCAGATCCATCGGTTGTTATCGATTTGGGAAATTGACGGTTCGGATGGATCTGCACGTGTAAATGCACGGTATGGCTTCGCTAGGTAGGTGAGGCAAATTTATGTGACTGACCAGTAAGGAAGAAAGAGATAGATGGAAAGAGGGGATTATAAAAAGTCAAGGTTTTATGGAAATTAGTGAATTCGGATTTTGTGGCGTTATGCCATTGGTCCTGTTAACTGTTATATTTTGGGATTCAAATGATGAAAGTACCCTCGTAGAGGGAAGATTATGGAAATATGTAATGGAGATAATTTTATCTTTAATAAACTCAAAATAATTTTATTTTGGAATTATAAAATTATAATGATAAAAATTAATATAATACTACGATATATTAGAATTATAAAAATACTTTGATTTTCATATCAAACGATGTCATTTTGAGCTCACAAGAAATAACTTATCTCTATTTACAGAAGAAATTTTTTATCCTTTAAAAAAATATAGTTTTTATGTTTTGTTTATTTTAAAAGTATTTTTTATAAAAATTATAATTATTTAGATTTTTAAAAAAATATTGAGTTTTCGAAAAAAAAAAGTTTTTACTTTTAATTTCTTTTTTTAGAATCTAAAATTTTTAACTTCTAATAAAAAGTAGGGCTGTGTTCGATTTATGTTCTGCAAAATAGTTTTTTAATTTTAAAAACAAAAAAAAAATTAAAAAAATTGTTTGGTATGAGTTTTCTTTATTTGTTATTCTAAAAATAACATCTGTTCTTTTGTTTTTAAAACAAAAAATAGAAAACAACTCTTACCTATTTTTATTCTTTTTTCCTACTTTTACTCATAAAAAGTGATAGAAATATTGAGAACAATATTTCATTAGGAGGCGTTTGGTTGAAGATAAATTTTAAGAATACTAGAGAAATGTAATTACTAGGTATTCATAGGGAAAGTTGAATAGATGGGAAAGTTAAAAAAAAAAAGTAATTTGGTTTGACAAAATTTTACCAGGGAAATATATGACAAAAAATGTGTCAACAGTGCTTTACCCGGGTTTTATCAAAAAACCACCCTCAAATCCGTTTTCTAAACAGTTCAAATTCATATCTTTCTCAAAAAGCTATGCATTTCATATGGATGGGTTTTGGTCAAAAGCTGTTGAAACAAACATTGATTTTCTAAAAACCAAACTTCATTTGCCTTGAAAACTATTGAAAAGAATGGAACCAAACACCACCTTAATGACATTTTGGTAATTATAATCAAACAGATTTATTTTCTTCTTTTTCTACCAAAAAGTTTTTATAAGTTGTTTTATAAAATAGTTTTGAAAAAAAATATAAACACATTCAAATACACCCTAGGATTTTGGCTTTTTTTTTTTTACTTTTGTTTTTTTTTAAAAGCAGATATTCAAATAATCTTATAATAAAAAATGCTTTTTTCTAAAAAAATAATTTTTGAAGAAAAAACACATCCAAATTAATTTTATTTGGATATTTTTATTTCATATAATTTTTTTAAGAAAAAAGTGTTTGTTATTTTAAATGACATAATAATCTGTCCTTTTAAGAGAGAGACAGACACAAGAATTTTTTTTATTTAAATTTTAAATTAAAAAAATTATTCACTCTCTCTTCCATGATATCCATTTTTCTGTGTCTATCTCTCTCCTAAAATAACATAACTTATATCATTTAAAATGACAAACACCAAAAAAAATTTAATATTTAAATCACAATGCTAAAATGGATTGGACGCACCAAAATGTGATTCGAAGGTTATTTAAGTAATTCGGTTTCAAAATTCTAAATGGGGATGCGAACCTTCGGTGAATAGAAAAATAAAATATATATCCACAGTGTGAACGCATTCCGCTTCAGGAGATTCCATTTTGGGCGATGTTAATGTCACCTTTGAGGCATACCTTCTTGCGCGCCTCCTAATTTGATTGCTCCACACGAAGATGTGCCTTTTTGCTGTCCCGACAGTCGCATAGTACTATAAAACTCAAAAAAGTTAGCTATAATCGAGGCAATCAGTTGATGTCGAAATAATTTTCTATTTATGTTACATTAAAATAATGGACAGTTTATATTTATAAAAAAATTTGTTTACAAACTAAAGTATCTTTTTTCGTAAGAACATTAGTTATATTATTTTTTTTCGTAAGAAAATAGTGTAATTTATAAAAATTTGTAGCTAAATCAATTTCCTAAAATAAATAGATTAATATTTTTCATATTACAGAAAATAAAATTTTTTTTTACACATATAAAAATGTGTAAAGTTCATATAAATTTTTGTATATGAATGTGTATGAGATAAAAAAATTATTTGTTATAATGAAAAACATTAAACCCAAAATAAATTTAGCATTTGTTGGGTAGTATATATTAGGAATTATCGATAGAATTTAATATTCAAGTTTTATATTGTCATCAAGTATTACGTTGAAACATTGTTTAACTAATTTAAAATATTATATATTATTTAAATTTATTAAATAATATAAAAAATACATTATTATATAATAATATAACTTTTATTTTAATAATATATAAAATTATATCAAATCAAATTAATTATTAATAAACTTTAAACAAATGTTAACAAAATATTTTTTCTATTTGTTAACACTACTTTTTATGTGACGTGAAATATTCTATGCAAGTCTTAGGACATGTTTGGTGTACAGTATAGGATAAGACATGATAATATAAAACTAATAGTATAGCGTCTGATTGTATAACACTAGATCAAATTTTAGTGTGTCTTGACATTAATATCATCCAGTAGTAACGCATTGTATAATACTATATAGGATAAAAATAAATATTTACCCTTTAATAAATAATTTATATAATTCTTACAAATATATCATATGATATTAATTTTTATAAAAAATTATTGATCAGTGTGTCCAACAAATATATTAATTTTTATAAAAATAAAAATATCCAATATTTTAAAAAATTATATATATTATTAAAATAATATATTAATTATTGAGAATTGCACTGGTCAGAAATGTTAATACATCAACTCCTTATCAGGCCTAATCTCACCTCCATAGGCTTTGTTCTGTCGTGGAGACAGAGATGTATAGCCGGTGGCTAGTATGTTGATATTAGATTTGTGTGCCCCCTTTTAGGTATCTATGGGGGAGATACTTTAGAGATTAGTGGATCATTATGCACTATTATAATAATGGCAGAGCCAAAGAATGGTGTGTGCACAGTGACAACTAAAAGAGAAGGTTTATAATATGTGTACTTTATTGGCTTAACGCTTTATTTATAGTTGGATTACCTGTCAGTAGTGGGATTATGGGCCTCTTAGAAATGTTAGGGGTCCAGCTCTTGATCCATTATTATCGTATTAGGATTAACACAAGTAAGAAATGTTCTCTTAGTTGTTAGCCCTTCATAGATCTTCTAGAATTTGGGCCTTTGTCAAGCCCATAACAGGCTTAATTAAGTTATACATCATTTTGATGTATGAAGGAATTCTGTTGTATAAGTTTATAGTATACGATGGTCTCACCAAATAACTAAAAATATCATAATGTATAATATAACCTTATACTATCAGGTCTTATACATCACATCAAGTAGGCCTTTAATAATAAAAAATAACACATGGTTATTCAATAAACACTTCCATAAAACTTTATTTGATGATAAAAAATATTTTAAAAACTGAAATTATGTTGCAAACCTTCCTCGTTTTTAAAATTTGAGGCTGATGTTGATGTTATGTACTTAATCCTCTAAAAATTGATTATTTTGCATAATTAGAGGGAAAAAAACTCGAGAGAAAGGAAGAGGATCTTGTGGAACACAACATTAAGAAAGCAAAAGATGTCCTTAGTAAAGATGCAACATTGGATGCATAGATGGTGGACAAAACCACGAATGAAAAAAGGAACTTAAGCACCCATTTGTCTGAAGAAGAAGCAGGGAAGTCAAAAAACATGACTATCAGCTCAGGTAGTGTTGAGATATATAGTCCCACATTGGCTGTATGTGCAACTAATGTGGAGTTTATAAGGCCTTGGACACTCCCACTCTTTGAGCTAGCTTTTGGGATGGTGTATCTCAAGGTTCTTTACATGGTATCAGAGCCTCGTCATCCCCCACTTTCTCTTGTGGCATTTCTTAGCACAGGTAGGCTGGGCCTGTTGCATTGTCCACTCTTCAAGCCCAATGGGCTCTTGTGTGAGGGGGCGTGTTGAGATATATAGTCCCACATTGGTTGTATGTGCAACTAATGTGGAGTTTATAAGGCCTTGGACACTTTCACCCTTTGAGCTAGCTTTTGGTGTGGTGTATCCCAAGGTTCTTTACAAGTAGATGTGTGGTTTCCTACAAGAACATAGTCCTCCAACCCAATGGTGAAGAGGATGGAGGCTATAGTGATGAAGAAGATTGGTTGTCTCTTCAGAGAAAGGAGGGAGAAGAAGATTATGCCATCGAGGATGAGGCCCCTACATACCAAGCCAACCCTTTATGTCCAATGTACCATTTCTCCAAAAAGAAGCACAAGGAAGACTACAAAAAGTGGAGGAAAGCCTTAATAGCTAAGTTACTGGGTAGGAGAATCAGTAATCGTCTTATGACCATATTGTTAAACTATGGGCTCTGACAGGTGGAATAAAGGTTATAAACTTGGACAATAGATACATTATACTCAATTTCCATGAGGAAAAAGACTATTTTCATGTTCTACACGAAGGCCCTTGGATATGGGTGGATCATTATATGGTGGTGCAAAGATAAAGTCCTATGTTTGATCCATATGATGAACAAGTAAAGAGGTTAGCTATATGGATTTGAATTCCAGGTCTTCCACTGGAGTTTTACTCATCCTAACATCTTTAGGGAATTGGTAATTTGTTTGGTAAAACCCTAAAGGTGGACAAGAACTATCTCGGGAAGTCAGATGGTGGAGAAGGATAATACACAGATAAGGCTAAATATGTCAAAATTTATGTTGAAATTGACTTAAAGAGAAGC